GTCGACACTGAAATACCACAACGTTGATCATGTCGGCTAATCATCGCAGCCCTTGACTTGTCGTCCATTGTTGTATAGAGTCTGTGACACTCAACGATTGATGCTGTGTAGGTCAGGTGATAAAGGATGAGTGTCCTCTCTCAGCCTCAGGTGGAGGTGCTCTCAGAGGAGGAGGCAGAGGAGGAGGACGAGGAGGAGGACATCTTGTCTCTGGCGGAGGAGAAGTATCGTCCTGCAGCTCTGGAGAAGATGATCGCCCTCATCGCTCTGCTGGTGGAGCAGTCTCGCTCTGAGAGGTACAAATACGAGCTCTGATGGAACAACTGAGAGCAAAACTACCAATTCTTTCTGTCATGACATCTCTCTCCATGTCGTTATGGTCATTCTGCTCTGTGAGTTACTGAACGTACCAGTGACGGGCTGTCTTCTCTGTCCAGACATCTGACTCTGTCTCAGAGCGACATGGCGGCGCTGACAGGAGGGAAAGGCTTCCCCTTCCTATTCCAGCACATCAGAGACGGCATCAACATCAGACAGACGTGCAACCTCATCTTCAGCCTGTGTCGCTACAACAACCGTCTGGCCGAGCACGTGGGTTCATCTTGCGTCACTGCAGACATGTCTGGGCTTTCACTCTGGTTTCTGTCAATAGTTAATGTGTGGAAATGTGAAAAACTCACCTCTCCACTGGTTTTGTGTCTCTGCAGATTGTGTCCATGCTCTTCACCTCCATTGCAAAACTGACTCCAGAGGTAAACACAGCCAAAACATTTTTCAAATATGAAAGGGTTTGTTCCCACCACCACCTAGTGGGGTCTAGCCACACAAGTAGTTTGTTTTATTCACCGTCAGCTGTTTGTCATTGCGTTCCATCAGGCTGCCAATCCTTTCTTCAAGCTGCTGACCATGTTGATGGAGTTTGCAGGCGGACCTCCAGGGATGCCCTCCTTCGCCTCCTACATCCTCCAGAGAATCTGGGAGGTAAGTAGAGCCACTCAAGGTCCATATCAAACCACAACACTGG